TTTGCCTCCTCACCCCATATATCAGTGAGATCCAGGATCTCCACACTAGATCAGAATGATGCCCCCATTTTTCGCCCCCAGTCAGGAGCTTCAGAGGTGGCTGCTGGCTCCCTTGCAACCATGGTGGGCTCATGGGAGCACATGGCAGCATGAAAGGCAAAACAGGCAGCTGGTGTGTGGCACAGGACTAGCAGGGCTTTCCTTGTGCCACAAGCCCTTTCCCCTGAGGCTTCAGGGGAAGGGGAGTTATAGAGTTGTGATGAGTGTGGACAGAGTGGTCAGCAGTGCACCTGTGGAAAGCCCTGGAGGCCGCACATTTTGATATAACTCCAGCTGTGCTGCCTACACACCCCCTATTTATTTCAAGATAGGTGTTATTCTTTGTAAAAGGAGGGTTACAGAATTCGGAATAAGAAGCCTGTTATTTTGAAATTATTTTGAAATAATGGGCTTGCTGTGTAGATTCTCACCTTGTTATTTAGAAATAACATGAGTTATTTTGAAATAATGCTGTTGTGTAGATATTCCCTTACTGTGAATGTAAGCCCATCAAATTTAATTCTTGATCACTAATACAATTAGCCCTGACCTCCAGAAGGTGATAACATATAGACCTACTCTCTGATTAGAGCAGGGGTCGCCAACCTTTTTACACTCAAGATCACTTTTTAAATGTCAGGACAAGCCAAGATCTACCCCATCCCTTTCCCAAGATCCCACCCTTTCCTTGAAACCCCGCCCTCTCTGTTCTTCTTTTCTCCATCATTTGCTGTCCCCATCCCTTATACACTCTCACTAGGTTGATACAGGAGGTGCAGGATCTGGGGTGGGAATTTAGGTGCAGGAGGAGGTGGAGAAGGGGATGCTGGCTCAGGGAGGGGGCTCTAGGCTGGGGAGGTGTCTGTCCAGGAGGGAGGGAGGGAGCAGGGTGCTGGTGGGAGTTTGGGCAGGAGACAGGGTGCTGGGGCAGGGTGCTGGTGGGTGCTGGGACAGGGTGCTGGGAGAGGGTGCTAGTGGAGGCTGAGGCAAGGTGCTAGTGGGTTCTGGAGCAGGGTGTGCGGACAGGGTGCTGGTGGAGGCTGAGGCAGGGTGCTGGGGCAGGGTGCTGGTGAGTCCTGGAGCAGAAGCCAGGGTGCTGGTGGAGGCTGGGAGAGAGTAATCATGGGGTCTGGCCAGAGGAGGGGACAGGGACAATTCAACCAGTACCTGGGGATCCCACAGCTGCATGCCAGGTCCGGGGTCTCAAGAAGCATGTGGGCTGCTCCTCCCCTCCCCAAACAGCCGGCACACTTCCTGAAAAGCTGGGTCTGTTGTGCCGCTGGGAGGTTCCTTCCCCCTGCTTCCTGCACAGGGAGAGGAAAGAAGAGGGGAATAGGAGTCCTGGGACTGTGAACCAGCTCCAACTTCTCAGGAAGTGCGCACTCTTCCTCCACTCCCCACAACAGCAGGTGCACTTCCTGAGAAGTTGGAGCTGGGGCGCAGTCCCAGGACTCCTACTTCCCCCCCTCTCCTCCTACCCGCTGCACAGGAAAGGAAGTTCCTGGTGGCGTGACAGACCCAGCATTTCAGTGCACTGGCTGTATAGGGGAGGGGAAGAGCCCACACGCTTTCTGAGATGCCAGACCTGGCTCGCACGTCAGTGCGAGCTCCTTCTTCGTAGTGGGGGGGAATGGCGGGAGCCTGGGTCACCTCTCGATTAACTGGTCATGCCCCCATAATCGACCAGTCGATTGTGATTGATGGATTGGTGACCATGGTCTTACAGGATACAGGCCTACAGATTCCTTGCATTACTGATAAATAAAATAAATGCTCATGCTAGCTCTCTGGGCTACAATGCTTTGCGGCACCCTGTTGATTCAGGTCCTTTACAAAACTGAGCTAGAAGAGGAGGTGGTACCATCTATAAAAAGGGAAATAAGAACAACCCTTATTCAAGTTTGCAGATGATACCAAGCTGGGAGAGGTTGCAAGTGCTTTGGAGGATAGGGTCATAATTCAAAATGATCTGGACAAACCGGAGAAATGGTCCGAGGTAAACAGGATAAAATTTAATAAGGACAAATGTAAAGTACTCCACTTACAAAGGAACAATACATTTCACACATAGGGAATGGGAAGTGATTGTCTAGGAAGGAGTACTGCTGAGTCAACAGTGTGACACTAGCAAAAAAGGCAAACATGATTCTGGGTTGTGTTTTGAGCAAGACATGAAAAGCCATACTTCCACTCTACTGTACACTGATTAGGCCTCAATTGGAGTAGTGTGTCCAGTTCTGGGCACCACATTTCAAGAAAGATGTGGAGAAATTGGAGAAGGTCCAGAGAAGAGCAACAAGCATGATTAAAGGTCTAGAGAACATGGCCTATAAGGGAAGACTGAAAGAACTGGGCTTGTTTAGTTTGAAAAGAAGAAGACCGAAAGGGGACATGAAAGCGGTTTTCAAGTATCTAAAAGGGTATTGTAAGGAGGAGGGAGAAAAATTGTTCCCCTTGGCCTCTGAGGAGACGAAGCAATGGGCTTAAATTGCAGCAAGGAAGGTTTAGGTTGGACATCAGGAAAGACTTCCTGCCTGTCAGGGTGGTTAAACACTGGAATAAATTGTCTAAGGGGGTTGTGAAATCTCCATCACTGGAGACATTTAAGAGCAAGTTAGACAGACACTTGTCAGGGATGATCTAGACCAGTGTTTCCCAATTTTATTTGGCTATGGAACCCTTTTAAACTCGAAATAATCTTGCAAACCTCCCAATAATAGTCTTATATATGGAGCTGAAAAAGTAGACCACAAGTATAATAATAAACAAATGCTAAATAAGGTCATGAGAGCAACACAAATGAAAATTGTTTTCAATAAAATTCATACATGCTTAAATATTAATTATTATCTTAAATAATGTTACTGTAATGGAATTTTCTCATAGAGCCCTTATTTTCACTTCACGGAACCCCAGGGTTCCACGGAACACCATTTGGGAAACACTGATACTGACAGTGCTTGGTCCTGCCATGAGGGCAGGGGACTAGACTCGATGACCTCTCCAGGTCCCTTCCAGTTTTCTATGATCCTTTATTTTATAACTTTTATCCCAGTAATTAGAGCACTTCCATGAGATGTGGGAAAACCAGTTTCAATTCCATCTTTTCAAACTGAGAGGGGATAGAAAATATTTACTGTGCAATCACAAGTGGGAGTCCCTTCCAACTAAAACAGTGTTTCTCAACCAGTGGTACAAGTACCCTTAGGGGTACTTGAGAGAAGTGGGGGGGAGGGGGAGTACATCAACAAGTGAAATTTGGAGAAAACTGAGTTTTTGTTTTAAGTTTTACAGTGCTTTTTTATTTTTGTACTTTTTACACCCAAAAATTTCATCACCCGCCTGGCTCCGATTAAGTTGTTTAAATAAATGTGTTGCAATGGTAGAAAAAAAAATGTGTGTCTGAAAACTGTAAGTACTGGGGGGTACTTATATATATTTAAAGGGGTACTTTATAAAGAAAAGGTTGAGAAACAGTGAACTAGAACACCTATGGAGGTTGGTTGGGAGGCATGTTTGCATTCAGGGTGGGTCCATCGTTGGTACCTTTTTTAAAACAGCAGCCGCTGGCCTTCGTGCTCCGGGGGCCTGGCGGCACAGGGCTGCGCACTCACTGTTGCACTGTTCTGCAAGCTCACAGCAGCATCTGTTCAAGCTACAGAGCAACAGTGAGTGGGGAACACCCACAGCGGAGGCACAGCCCAGCACAGAGGGCACCGAACCGCGCCACCCCGCCCCCCGCCCCCCCCCCCCTCTCTCTCTCTCTCTCTCTCTCCAGCCCAGCGCAAGTGCGCGTGCTGACAGACGGTTGCTGGAACACGCGCTTGGAGTCTGTTAACGAAAAGCCCGCCTCCCCTAGCGCCTGCGTGGAGTAGATGTCGTTGTAGTCGTCGCGCGCCGGCTGGCAACACTTACCGGGTCCGAGACTCGTGCGCACCCTTCTAAGGCGCGAGACCAGCAAGCAGCTCATTAAACTAACCCAGCGCAAGTGCGCGTGCTGACAGACGGTTGCTGGAACACGCGCTTGGAGTCTGTTAACGAAAAGCCCGCCTCCCCTAGCGCCTGCGTGGAGTAGATGTCGTTGTAGTCGTCGCGCGCCGGCTGGCAACACTTACCGGGTCCGAGACTCGTGCGCACCCTTCTAAGGCGCGAGACCAGCAAGCAGCTCATTAAACTAACTGGACTTCGCCCGCCCCGCTAACTCCGCGCGCATGCGCTCACCACCGCTTAAAAGAGCCCTGTGGGTCACGGCTGTTAAAAGGGCGCGCCGCCCGCAGTAGGGGCTGAGGTTGAAGTACGTGGGGGAGCGTTTCGTTGCTATGGCGAGTGGGCCCACGTGGGTGTAGGCCTGGCGCTGGGCAGCTGACTGGGGCGAGAAGCTGATGGCAGTGCGGGGGACAAATCGCAGGGCGCTCGTGTGAACGCGGCGCGCGGGGAAACCACCCTCCCTTCCGCCTCAGTAAGCGGGCCAGCAAGTCCTGCTGCAAGCTAGGCCGGGGCAAGGCGAGCGCTTTGGTAGCTCGCTCTGTGCGCCCGGGGAGGGGGCTCGGCGAGGACAGGGATGGGTCCCGGACCGGCACCGAGCGTTTGTGTTTGCAGAGCGCCCATTGACAGTCGCCCAGTTAACGTTTTGTTGCGAAGAACAGGGCGAGTCTGACTGTGTACGGTAAGCCCGCAGTAAAACATGAGAGCCCAGGTGACTGCACTTGCCAGCTGTACACCACTAGTGTGCTCTGGGCAGGAGAGTAAATAAATGCCAGGTGACTTCTGTCCCCAGAAGAGGCTGACTACTCTTTTGGGTTGGCTCATGGCTTATTTCTAAGGTGCTGCAGGACCATTCGTTGTTTCTTAGCCTTGAAGTGTTCTTACTTTCATAAAATTAGTTCCAGATCTGTGCAAGCACTGGGTGTAACTGTATGAGGTATGACTCATTGCCTTATTACTACAAAGGGAGTGGCTGTATCCATCAGAGGAATTGGTATATTACAAATGGTCATATTATTGTCACATGAAGATCATGCATCAAATGTTAAACCTGATTGCAAAATATAGGTGAAATTGCATATAACATGGCCTACAACTCCTAATAATCTAGGCTAAAATTGCAACCTGTTGCTCACAAATGTCCAAGTTTTATAAAAGTGCCATTTTGAGAATTGTAGCTCTACTACATACCATCACTTTTCTGTAGTTGAAGTCACTTTTGGTGTGTAAACACAAACTTGCATTATTAACATTTGTAATTGTGTATTACCATGGTGCCCAGAGGCCCTAATCAGGTTTGTTATACTATCTGCATGGTACAAATGCAGTTGAATATAGTTCTCTAGCCTATTGCAGGTGATTAATTGATGGTGTTATCCTTAAACAGCTGAAAAGCTGTGATTTGTTTGTCAAGTACCTCAAGTCATTAAAACATTGTGTATTAATGGTATGTTTTAGTCACTTGCTGTTCAGGAATGTGCCCAGTTGCCAATGAGTCTATGTAAAGTACTGACCCATTGGACAATCAGTCATTTCAGAATGTGCATTGATCCCACTATTGGCTGTGAGAGCTGCTACAGCCTGACTTCATAGAGCTTTGAGATTTATGATTTCTCCCCCCTCCCCCCCAACCTTCACATAGTTGCAGCCAAAGCTCTTTATTCCCTTTGCCTAAGAATCTGGGCCAAAGCGAACAATTTATTTTTGTGCTACCCTAATGTAGAATATTATATGTGAACCAAGGATGCTAATTAGTTTAATACATTACAAGGGATTTTTTTTAAGTGCAAGAATGCTGATATAATAAATTTGCATGTCATGTAAGGAGAGCTATATAAAGGACATCCTTAATTGCCTCATTTAATTGTGCAATAAAAGCTTTAATATCTGATTGTACATGCCTTATCATAATTGTCTGCAATGTTACAACTCATAAGTAAACAAGAAAATATGAGATCTCTGTTAATGGAAAACACTTTATTCACTTGTAGGTGTTTTATCTCAATGACTAGTGGTGATGGAAATGAAACTATGCAAAGTTACACAGAGCATGCAGGTATTTAAATAATCTTATCATGTTGTGCATAAGAGCAATCCTTTTGTGGATTTTTCAGATGGAAAACACAAAAGGCATATGATACATATAAACTGTAGCTTTCTTTGTGTAACCAGATGAACTATTACATAGTTCATATTGTGAAATCTGTATTGGTATTAACATGATTTAATTAAATAGTATATTCTTTTCAAGATAGAAAAATGAAAAAAAATTCCATCTCACATTTTCAGAGGAGGAAAACAAAATCTAAAGCATGTTTAAGAACTAGCAAATTAGAAATAATTTGAAACTGCTGTAAAGAAATCTTTACAAGAGGCACTTTTAGTGTTGTGTCTTTGGCAGTTTTTAGTTCATCTGAGATCAGAACATTAATCTGAGCTCCCTCCAAAGCATACATTTTTATTTTTTAATAACTGTATTTGTAATTGCTTGGACAATTGCAGTTTAAATAAAATCATTCTAAGGAAAGTTATATTGAAGCAAATAGAGTAAGTTCTCTTACTAACACAATACAAATATAGCAGGTAAAATACAATTTTACTACATTTTCATAAGGGAAATAGGATCTATTTTGGAAAACAAATTCCCTCCACAAAATCACCATAAATGACTCACATCTGTAGAATTCTAAGGATATTTAAGTATCAGAAAAGATTAGTCAACACTCACTATTAGTTTGACCAGCAGCTTCATTTCAGTGATGTTTATTGGCAGTAGTAGCCTGGGGAGGGAGATCCCTTGCAACATATCTATCTTGCTCAGCTGCATTTCAGGAGAATGATTTACCAGCCCACTTGAATAATGTGTCTTGAACATTCTAGCTGGAGTTTTTTTTTTAATGTAATATGTTTCTGGCATCTAAGTTTATAGAAGTCTTATGTGGTGTTACTCGGGTGCATAATTCAAATAGGTTTAGTTTGTCTTCATTTAAATTATTGCTCCGCGATAGGGATGGGGCTGAGGGGTTCACTATGCAGCCCTGTCTTACCACAGCAGCTTGGGGTTATGTAAGAAACACCTGTCCGTGATTGCTGCAGCAGATGCAGCCAGGAGAAAAACAGAGAGATTCACAGATGCCCAATGAGACCAACTCTCTGAAATATATAGTAGATAGCATCTCTTTCTCCACCTGTACTCTCTGCTGGCCCACTGGAGTCATAGTTGTCATGATCCCCATCTCTGGTGCCTTAGTACTCTCTATGGTCATTCTACATTATAACTCCCTCCAACCCAATCCTTCCCTTTTATGAGAAGCAATCAAATTCCAGGCACATCCTATTGCCTTGGCAGACCTAAGCCCTTACCTTGCTTTAAGTTATAAGAGAAAGCTACATAGCAAACTTAGTAGTTCTAGCTCTTACCATTTAGAAGTTCTTTAACAGACTGATGCACATCTTAAAATATATAGTCAGATACATGATTGAGTGGATATCTCTGGACATATTCTGTAACAGCTGCTGGGAGAACATTTTTGTAAACTTATGAATAAAATGATAATTCACAAGAGAAAAATCCATGCTTATATAATATGTTTTGCCTGTCCTGACATCCGGGTATTAAACTAAAAAATCATACATAACTTGTAACCTGACATGTCCAAAACGGGAAGTTGTGTGGTTGAATATATCTACCAGATCCTGGCTGTTGAGATACTCCACTCGTTGCCCTTTCACTCTATTCTTTTGCATTCAGGGATTAGTGTAAATTATTACCAATGTATTTTGAAGATTAAATTCAAAGCTATTATTAATTCCATATCTGTCTATTTAGTTCAGGAGCAACTGGCAACACACTACCTGAGTATTAGGTATCCTACACTCAGAAGTGTGGGATATGTGGTGTCTTTTTAGTGGTAGAATAAAAAAGGCTGATGACTTCTCTGCATGAACAATTAGTTTGCAGCAGGTTGGGTATGCATCTCCCCACACCAGCTTCTTGCAGACTGTGTGGATCCTACTGATCTACATTAATAGCTTTTCTTTTATCTAGTCTCATTTCAAGAAGAACTAGAGTAAAGCAAACTAACACATTTTAATGACCATCAGCAGGATCCACACAGTCTGCAGAAAGCTAATATGTGGTAGATTCACACCTCAACCCTCTGCATACTAAATGTTCATTGTAGACAAACTGAGCGTGTCATCTAATTTATCCCTATTCCATTTTGCAGGATTGATACAGTATGTACAAATGTATTTTGTCTATAGTGAAACAGCAATGTCTTCAAATTACGAGGGTGAAGGGCTTTGCTTTCCTCGGCAAATAATTCAACAGATGCAAGGTTTGCTAACAGTTTACATCTCATCTTGATAGCAGGTTGGGATAAAATACCTCGTGTGATCTGGAGGTTTTGGACACAAAGATAAGAGAATATATTCTATGCAAAGTCACCTCTTGGTGACATGGGTAATCTTTGGTATATTAAAATAAAGTCCCTCTGGTTCAGAGTGCTTAATCCTTGTCAATATTATAGCCTTTGTTCTAGTCACTTTAAGTCGAGCAAATATGAGTAGGGATAGTGTAGGGATGAGAGTCAAAACGCCTAGGTTCTTCCTTTGGCTTTACCACTAACTTGTTTGTCTATGGGTCAATCATTCTATCTTTTTGTGCCTGCATTTTCCCTATCTGTAGCATGGAAATAATCAAATTTATCTCTTGGGTATTGTAAAGCTTAAGTGCTGTCTGTACACATAAAAAATATTAGTGTAGATAACAGGATGCATGGATCATACTGCTGGAAAAAGTGAATAATTTATATTGTGAGATGTTTACTTGTTCAAAATAACTCGGATTTTTTGGCAGATATACGTCCTCCATGCAGTTGCTCATATGCCATTGATTACATATTTATCACTTGGATCTGCAGTTCTTTACATGGATATCTTCTTGTATTTGCTATGTTCCCACACACGCTTACAGTTGAGACACTGATTTATGGCTCCAATCCCACAAATACTTATGTACTCACTTTACTTTAAGCACACGAGTATTGAAGTTAATGACTACAACTTATGTGTCTATTTAAGCATGTGCAAAAGTCAGAAAAGGAGCTCACATTCAAAGAAGTCAGCCTTGGCACAAGCAGTACAAGGCACTGGACAGTGAGGTTCTGGGTACATCTGGTACTGGGATGACCCAACAGGAAAAAGACCAAACACGGTCTAGCTCTAAGACTTTGGCACAATCTCAGCCAACCAAGTCCCTGCCACAGACTGCATAAGTACTGACACCAGCACTGAGTGTACCAACACCGCAGCAATTCAATATACCTATGTCAGGCTGAATACATCTCATTTTTCTCTGCCTGTGACACCATCAGGATCAGCTCCTCTTCTGTAGCTATCTAGTGATGAGGACAATGACTCCATCAGTGTATGTACACCAAGGCATTTGTCACCAAAACAAGTGCAGCATCCTATTCAGTGGTCACCACAATGGTTACCACCACCAAAACCAGTCCCTTCCAACTGGCCGTCAGGCTGAATACATCTCATTTTTCTCTGCCTGTGACACCATCAGGATCAGCTCCTCTTCTGTAGCTATCTAGTGATGAGGACAATGACTCCATCAGTGTATGTACACCAAGGCATTTGTCACCAAAACAAGTGCAGCATCCTATTCAGTGGTCACCACAATGGTTACCACCACCAAAACCAGTCCCTTCCAACTGGCCATACTGGGACCCTTTGGCTGCATATAGGCTATGTCTACACTGGCAGCTTCTTGCGCAAGAACATCTTGCCATGTGCAAGCTGTGCTTTTGTGCAAGAGCATCCATGGTAGTGTGGATGCTCTCTTGCGCAAGAAAGCTCTGCTGGCCATTTTAGCCATAGGGCTTTCTTGCACAAGAAATCTCTGCCGAGCGTCCACACTGCCCTCTTGCGCAAGAGCTCCTGCGCAAGGGGCTTACACCTGATAAAAAAGAGCGTAGCACTTGCACAAGAAGCCCTCTCTTACTATTCCATACTGTAAATTTCCTTGCGCAAGAGCGGACGGGCAGTGTGGACGCTCTGCGGATTCTTGTGCGAGAACGGCTGTACTTGCGCAAGAAGCTGTGAATGTAGACATAGCCACAGGCTACAGCAGACCCAGACTTAACAGCAGAGAACACCTGCATCAAGGTCCTGAATATCTTCCTTCTTCCTCAACCTCTCTCTTGAGACCTGAGGAGGAATCAAGGACAGGAGATGAGGTGTCAACACCAGATTCTCCACCACCTAACCATATATCATCCTCATCATCAGACAATACAATAATGCCTCCATCTCTGGATATGATTTCAAATCATTCCAGGAGCTGTATAGACATGTTGCAGATGCCCTGGATATATCACTTGTTAACTTGCCAGGGATCCAGCACAAATTAACAAACATTTTACACACCTCCCCAGCTGCCAAGCTGGCGTTACCGATGAACCCCACCCTTACTTATGAACCCCCGTAGCACAAACAATATGGTAAATGCCTGCCAACTAACTGGGACTGCAACTCAGCCTTCAAAAGTACTCTGACTCCAACACAAAGTCTTGAGTTCATAAAAGGCCCACCTCAACTGTACAACTGCAGTTGCGTCGCTACTACTCATCAGAGCTACAGCACTCACTGACTTGATAGGACAGGCACAGCATAGTCCACAGGTCTCAGCAAAGCTTTGTCTTCAGCTCCTGGGACACATGGCTATGTTCATAATACCACATGCTCGCCTCCACATGAGACCATTGCAAGCCTGGCTTCGTACAGTATATGGGCCATATGTTCACTACATAAACAAATGTCTGTCCATGCCAATTAGGGTGAAAGAATCTCTCACCTG